ATGATGTGAAGTCGTAAGATGCATCAACTTACAAGATTTGATGATCCTAGTCCTTATAGTAAGCAAAATATACACGTTTTTATTAATTGTAAATTTAGGTCAACTTTGAAGTGACCTTGAGACCACGCCCTTTGCCCCAGGGTCATGCCTTGAACAATTTTTAATCTTCAACATATCCTAATCCTTGTATGTAAGTTTGGTGAAAATCTGCCTGGTGGTTCTGGAGAAGAAGATTTTTTAGCAACCAGTACTTTTGGTTTTGTTTTCCTGATTATCTCCCCTTGTTTTAGGGTCCCAACCCTTATTTTAGTATAAATGGTAGCCCTTGGGCCAAGGATACCCTGTGACAAATTTGACAATAATTGGCCAAGGGGTTCTTGAGTTAAGGCCCATATTCTAAAAAGTTAACGCACACCGCACACCGCACAAATGGCCATAGCATTAGCTCTTTGAGCCTTTGGCTCAGAAGAGCTAATGAGGTCGGAATTTTTTTTCTCGGATTGGTCTCCGCAACACCAACTTTTTATTTTATCAAAAATACAATAAAATCGGCAATGCGGCTACCTCAAAATGGATGCACGCGGGCCTGAGAACAAAGATTCTAATTTTATGTGGCCTTGTATACAAAGTAGTTGGTTAAAGGCTTTTCTAGTCAATATGGATACCCATACAAAGTATACAGGAGGAGAGATTTGGAATAGGAATGACCACTAACAGTAAACTACATAAGAAAGGTTCCACTGAATACTTAGTAGTTTCTATTGTGTAGGCTTTTTTTATTTATTAATAAAACAGAAATATAAATTACCTTGTCAACTTTAATCAATTTTCTTACAACTTTGTTGGCAAGATGCAAAGCTGGCTCCATTTCAGAGAAAACTGTTTTGTTCTGAAAATATGAAGAAATTGCTAAACATCCTCAAACAATACATAACTTTTTTTATTTCTTTAAGCAGGACTAATAAGAAAGCCTCAAAGAAAAAAGTTTTTGAATTTGTCTCCTTGTCTTCATTTAAACTTACTAGAACCCATTAGACGCAGAGTACCTTTTCTTCCATAGATGTAATGACATGATCCTTGTGGTTCCCAAATATCACACACTTGGAGCAGATTGGCATTTTGTCATCTTCACAATAATATTCCAGTTCTCTCCCTTCATGCAGTGGACAATCCTGAGTTAACTCCCCTTTTAAACTGCAAAAGCATTATGTAAACCATTTATACTCTATACATTATAGTGTGCCCTGTTGGTAGATATTTCATATTCATACCAGTACATGCTACTTAAAATTTGCACTAAGGCGTAACAAAAAAATATGTTTGTTTACGGTTACCCGACCGACCCTAATTTTAATCGCCGACCCAAACTTTTTTTTCATCATAAAAATCCGGAAGTTACTGGCCGGTCAATTTAACTTTTACATTCATCTTTGAAATCGAAATTGAAAGTACAGAAACAAAACCAGTGAGTTCAATTTCTACATCAACAAGTTCGTTGCAATTTGCTTACCATTGCGTGGCAGTTGCAGGGGTGTGCAACTAGCATCGCCCAACGCCCGGTGCTACCGTTTTTTGGGGGTAGCAAAAATAAAATTAAAATTATGCATGTATATAATTATAAATACATGAGAAACACAAACGGTATTTTCACTCATTGTTTTCAGTGTGCGAAACTAACTTCAAAGTCCTATAGACTTTCAGTCCATAGACATTTCATTTTCTATAGACCGCAGCAACTTCCTATGGACCGAAATTTAGAATACTACATTCAATGCTAAAATATTGAAATTAAAATAAACGTATTTGATGTAAAATGGTGAAATAATTACACTTTCCAGTAGTTTTTGTACTGGATAAAAGATTACAACAAGAATCAAAAAACACGGTAAGACGACTGACTACAACAGCATTGATAAACGACTCAAACATTGAGAATGTCTGTCTGATAGACAAGAGTAATAATAATTCCCGAGCGTGCACCTTCAACATACTTTAAACGGTCGAAGAAGGACATGTTTCTTCTGCACTGTTTTGGTGTCCGCGGCCATTAAGTAATCACAACTTAACCTCCCCTTATGTTAAAAATAAAATATTCGATTCGAATTATTTCTGCATACATCGTGGAACAAACTATTATAACTAAGGGGTGAACGGAATACATCAGTGTAATACAGACGTTTTATTTAAACTGGTCCTCCTTTTTGTGGTTTGTTTATCATTGTTTATTAGAGACAAGCAGGGAACCAGTTTCTTACTCAGAATTCCTATAGACAAGTCGGTCTATTAATATTTCGATCGGTATAAACCGACTAGATTTTCTATAGACATTGTCTACCGGTCCACCGTTAATTTCGCACACTGTGTTTTGCTATTTAATTTCCAACTATTGAAAATTTTCCAGGCAGCATGCTCCTACTGTTCTTAAATCACTTTAATCTCATCCATTTTGCAGTACTACCTGACTTTATTACTTAAAAAAACGATCGTTTTTCCTAATCCGAATTTCCTCCATTCCTCTGTAAATACATGCAGATATCTCATTCAATTATATACGATCCCCCAATCAACTGATAGCTAAGTGTTATGTGATTAAACTTTAATATATATCAATTATACTTAAAGGTTTGAAATGAAAATAAAATGATTTTTGCTTCATTTTAGATCATGTAGATAAGCTAGACTAGTGCAATATGTTCAGAGAAGAAAAGGTAATTTCTTAAAATTTATAAACTTCAACTTTAAAAGGAATGGCTTAGGACCTGGCCTGGCTTTCTCAACAATGAACTTTTTAAAATATTAGTTTTTACAATTTTTTGTTGCCCCTATATTTGGACTGGTCACTTTTAACTGCAGACTAGTAACTTTATTGCTGTTACAAACCTGCGGGTTAGTACTTGATTTTTTTTTCAATTGCACACCCCTGAGTTATAAGGCAGTTGGCAAGAAAGATAATATTGTCTACCACCCATATTACAACCCCAAACAAAAGTAAGGCACCATACAATGGTAAAACTGTTTTTTAATTCAACCAATTCATGTGAATTTGTGTATAAAAAAATTCAATAAAATAAAAAAAAAATCCTACCTACCGACCCTATTTTATTTCAGCATGTAACAGTAAACAAAGTTATTTTTTTGTTTGGCCTAATACCTATTTAAAATTGTATCGTGAAAACATTATACCTTATAAGCAGAATTTTTAGCAAGGATTTAATTTTGGCATTGTTAGTGAGGGTTATGCGATCCCTAATATTGAATATCGCTAAAAATTAATTGCATTTTATTTGTATTAGGTTCTAACGAGAGCATTTTAAAATCGCTAAAATTACATCTCGCTAAAATTAAAATACCAGTTTTTAGAGACAAATAGCTAAATTTGTCTTGCTAAAATTTCCACTTATAAGAAGGTAATTATATTAATTCACTTATAAAAAGATTACATCCTACATGTAAATACTTTCGGTCAAACATGTTATGGAATATTTTATAAATTCAGAAGAAAAGAACTTTATAGTACCTGTCCTCACTTTCCATTGGCAAAGCTTGGTGCTGTTTTAAAGTATTGGACTTGGAATGGACCTACAGGAGATTTACAAAAACATGTAAATTGTATACATCAATGTATTTATCATTACAACTAATGACATTTTTCTGGACCATTAATTTGGATGCAGATGGAATCTTTCTTACAAATGTAGTTTAAAGCAACATCTAGATGTACATGCATATGCATACTGAACATTTTCTGTTTATTTTTTCATCACTTGTACCTTTTCAAAGCATCCATGACACATTATGACATCACACTTGTCACATCGACACATCGCTAATCTTCGAAAACACTCTCGGCACATTTTTTCCTTCTCTGCAAAAAGTTGTATAGCCATTAAGTAATGGTTTAAAATATAATATTTCATCCAAAACAGATTCAACCAAAATTATTTAAACTTTTTTGCTACTAAATGTTTTCCCTTTTTCAACTTAAGCCTGATTTATAGAGCTACCTCCTTTATCTGGGGCAGTCCTGAACCCAGGGTTCTGTACCATTCCTGCTGGGGATAACTTCTCAAGTTCTCTGAAGAGCAATGAATAAAATATGAAAAAGAAAATATCTTCAACCAAACCATTTTAATATTACACTAAGGATATTTTCTATGAGGCTTTAAAGTTCTGTTAAAAATTCAAATTGTCAAATGTAAGAAAGCCCTTCCAATATTTTATCTTGGGGAAAAAAATACTTCATATTTGAAAAAATAATACTGTAAGAAAGTTTAATACTAATAAACTGAATCATTTATTGTAAATAATTTCTATTCATCACAAAAGGCAAACATTTTCTCAAATTCTAATGCTAAGTTCAGTAGAGATTGAGACTTACTGATTGAGCAGTGCCCTCTGTTGACACAACATCCATCCTGTTACATAGACATCTGGCCACAGATTCTTCACACTGGCCTCTCCTTGTGGTAATTCTGTCACTGTCTGAAACATAATACATCAATTTACTGCTAAATCTCTATAAAAGCTCAATTTCAGTTCAAGGTTATGAGGTTCAATGCAAGTAGCAAGCTTACAATACAGATAATTTTATTGTGTTCATTGATCAGTACAAACTGTTGTCAAGTTCACCTAACCTTCAATTCTCAATCATGCCTTTCAGTGTGACACATTGACCCTGAAAAGCACCAATGTTTTTTTCTGAAACTAACCTTGCATGTTGGACATGACACAGAGGTCTTCGTCTCTCTGGCCATCTTAGTGAGACATCCCTCACAGAATGTGTGGCCACAGTCCAGAATAAGAGGATTTCTGTGTTGCCGATTGTGCTCTTAAAGTAAAATAAAACAGATTCATATACACTGTACAAGTTGACTTCAATTCCTAGACATTGCGGGACTATTCGAAAATGTTGACATATCAGAAAAATAGACTTGAAATCCAAAATTTCATCATATAGCAATACAAAGACAAGTACATGGCTTCAAAGGTTTCAGCAATTCCTTTAAATTTATTACAAAATCTAAGGAGTTATACAAAAATCTTAGGCCAGCATTTTTTTATTTTTAGGTTTACGAACATCAGAATGAAAAAGTCCCGTAGGAGGAGGAAATAAAAAAAAAAATAAAATTATATTTTGGATACATTATCGACTTTTCTACATTAATTTTTGCTTTTTTTTTTATGCTCTCCTAACAGGCTTCTTGCCACTGGACACATAAGGGTTACAAAGGGGAAAATACAACCTTTAATTGTTTATTTCATCATCTACCAGTTGGGGGCAGTGATATAAATCTTTTGATGTTGGACAAAATACAGATTTTTTTAAAAAATCAATTTTTTAAATCTCTTTTAATATATCTTCATTTTTGTTTTTAATGTGTGTTAGGTAGAAATTATTCTAAAATATTAATATATTATATTTGAGACCTATAAAAGTAATAATTCCTTTCATAAAACAGACGGGGAGTATTCCCAAGGAGTATTGAGGAGTAGGGTGGAATTTTTTTTAATTAAGTGTAAAATAATTTTTCTGGCTGCCATAAACGATACTACATGCCAGTATATATTTGTGTATCATTGATTTTAAATAGTTGAAATATTTTATTTCTTTAGGCTATTGTTTATTTCTTCATCAAATGGACTTAACTTCTCCCATAGTTTTATTCATTACATCTGATGCATTAGCGACCCTTTTCTGAAGAATGATGCTAAGACTGTAAGCTATGACAGAAACCTAAACAATGTCTCTGACAATAGCTACCATGGGCAGTTTTAAACCTCTGGGAGGAAAATAATTTACAATTACAGTTACTTTTGAATACGGATACATAATTATCTCACCACCATGTCACTTTGCAACAAAGTCGTCAGCATTTTATTGTTCTCTGAACGGGTGAAACGTTTTGAATGGCACTCTTATCGATAAATATTTACATTAAACCAAGCTTTAGTGCTGCTATGGACTTGACACAAATCTCCCTTCATTCATTTAAAACCGGAAGTACGAGTTCGTAAATTTGAAATCTCGATCCCGACTCAAATTTGACTTCGGAAAGAAAAAAATCTGTTTTTCTCAATTTTATTTTTTTTCTGAAAATTCAAAAACTTGAGCGGCGGGTTTGTAAACCTAAAAATAAAAAAATGCTGGCCTTATTGGTCAAACATGTTAATTCTCCAGATACAAAGCATTCTAAATTTACTAAATTTCCATCTAATAATAGTGAATACTACAGTCCCTGAAACGTTCTACTTTCCCACCTGAACGGTGAACGAACGCTGAACGAACGGTGAATGAACGCAGAGCGAACGGTGAGTGAACGATGTGCGAACGCTGAACGCAACTTGGTGACCGATATGTGAACGGTGAACGGTAAGTGAATGCAGAACGCGAACGGAGCGCGAACGCGAGCGCAAAGTGAACGGTGAACGAACGGTGAAAGCAAGATGAACGATTTATTCGGAATGCCTCCTATCTTTTCATTGAAATTATTCTATTATTCTATAATTCTAATTTCAGGTGCTTTAATATAAAAATTAACAATAGATAAATAAAAAAATAATTAAATAAATGAATAATAAAAAGTTTTGTACCTATGTTTTATTTTATAACACGATTTTAATTGCCGTAAAACATGTGTATTTGTTACCGAACGCGTGTAGTTTGAATATAAAATTAATCTATTTATATAGTAGATATGCTTATTCTTTTAACTAATAAAATAATGTGGACTTCAGATGATAAAACTACTACTTATTGAATGTATTAATTACATTGTACGCGGTGCATACATGAACAAACTAATTATCGCTTGTAAACAAACAATATAGTAAGTCGTACAGTATTATGTTCTCGTCAAATAGTGTGCCCTATTGTGATAAACCGTACAGTTTAGATGTTTAACGTTTTTTTTCTCTAATGTTAATTCTTGTTTACTGGTTATTGTGGTCAAGATACTTTGAAAATGTTTAAATACACCAAAAATAAAGATTTTTTTTTTTTTTTTTTTTACAAATAAACATTTCTTAGTTAAAGCTTACATAAATATTTCGTCGGCGAATGTATATGCACACGACATAATTTTCGGGAATTTGTTTATCAGTATTTAGCTCTGGAGCTTAATTTTTAAAATTTCTGCAAATGAAAAATTGATAAATAACTGGTAGAATCATTTTTAGAGATTCGCAAGCATTGAATCATGCAATTGAAACATGGATATAACTTGTAATTTAAGACATTTCATGCTGCGTTTTTTTTTCAATCGTATTCCACTTTCTGCATATTATGAAATCCAATTCAATCAAATTTTACGGTCCACCTACATGTACACCTTCTGATAGAACAAACAAATCCGTTTTCTTAAGTCTGAGAATTACCTAAATAATTATTTATAATCTAAAATATTAAAATAAGTCTTACATGTATTTAGTTCCAGAAAAAGTCAATGAATAATATTGATAATTCTTTGAAATCTTAAATCGGTACAGTACAAGCCGTTTATTATAATAGCTTATTTGTCAGGCCAAAACTTTATAATAACCGACTATGATTATAACCATAGACAGCTGAAATTCATCTCCGAGGTCTGACATGAACATGACTTAATCAATAACATGCCTGTCGTTTTTACACTATATTTAATAAGTATTATAGTATTAATTTAATATTTTTAGGTTTTTTTTGAAAAACAAGTTAGCTAACATATCATTTTACTTTTTTTACTTACTGTTTCAACATTTTGTATAAATAAATTCACTTTCCTAAAGCTTAATAATCTCCGAACTCAATCTTCTAGATGTCTTGGCATCCATCTTGTTAACTTTCATTTTGATCTACTTTCGTTTTTAGGTTCTATGATCAATTCAATCTATTAATAATTCGTTTTTTTTTTTTTTTTTTTTTTTTACGTTGCAGTTTTAATGAAACACAAAACAAAAAGAGAAAATATCTATAAACAGTATATAAAAACGTACAAACGAAAAAAACATTTAGTTACAAAAATGTTAGTTCAACATTTCAGCATAACACAACTTGCTTACCAACTACACAATATTTACGGTATCAAAATTATGTTACAACATAACAGAACATGACTTAATATTGTTTAATTCTTTCTCATTCTTTTTCAACCTTCAAGCTATTAAGTGTCAGGGAAAATTCATCTAAAACACAAGCCCAATTATTTTCTTCCTTGAACCCAAGCGCTAATTACACTTAATGGTGCCGTTTAATTGAAATTAAATTAATTGATATACTGATGTAAATCAAAGCCGCTTGGACAGGCTGGTTAAAAAGTTAATTTCACATCACTTCTGAATAAATTTGACAATTTATAAATGGGATTAATTATGACCATTGATCAGGCAACAAGCGTAAGATAGCTTGGGTAAATTGACACTTAATTTAGATTCAACACATTTTGGTAAAACACATTTATTATCAATGTACAATTAAACAAAAGAAGAAAATAAGATTGTGGATGGCTTCCTGTTGTTGTGTAATGTACTTTGTGAAATAAACAAACTTCCAGTCATCGCTCAGGTAAAGTGCGCTGGAGTGTGACTAATCCCCCTCAGTCAAGCCATTGTGTATAGACAAGCGACAGTGCATGGGCCACAGGTGTTGACAGGTGTTATCTTTTGTTTTGTTAATTGTCTCCAGAGTGAAAAAGGTGTGAAAAAAATATTTCGGACGAAATTTTTCTATGATAGTAACCGAAGTACACACTTTTACCTATGATAATAACGTAAGAAATTAACATTGAATCATTAAGAAATGGTTTTGTGTTTTAAATATCTATGATAAAAAACGGCCTATGATATAAAACAGGTATTAAATAAAACGGCCTGTACTGTATTACATGTAAGCCATATTTCGTTTTGAAAATACTACTGTTGGCACAAATTTATTCTAAAATAATATTGTTTAATGACTGTTTGATGTTGGGTTTAAGACTGATTTTCTTGAGTTACAATACACATTTGATATTAAGTAAAATGTACTGAAAGTACTAAGAATTTTATTTCGGGGAGAAAAGGCACCGGGAGTGGGGGGGGGGGGGGGGGGCTTAATTATACTGAATGGCAAACATATAATTTGGTACGGTGATGGAAGGAATTTTCTATCTCTAATAAAAGATTATTTTAAAAAGTTGGTGTTTTCTAAAATTTAAAACCACACTATCAATTTAATTAGCTCAAAAAAATATTTAATTAACTGAATATTTGCAGTACTGTTCTTAATTCTAAGACCTACGTGTAGTTTGAAACACGTGTTACTGTAGGAATAATTTTTTGTGTATTCATGTCTTGTAAAAGCATTAATTATTATACATCCATTGGTGTTTTGTCGTCTTTAACATTACAACAAATTCTTGCCGTGCGTAAAGCATTTGTACATTGCCTTTTTTAAAATTTAATATTTTAGCATCGTTCTACATACATGTACAGTAGGTACTTAATGTATTATTATCCAGGGAAATTTCATGAATAAAGTAACAGCTAAGTTATGACGATAAAAATATAAATACCATAGATAATTTTCGCAATGAAATAATCATTCTTCAAACACGATATCTAAGTTATTTAATTAAAAAACGTGTAAATCCTTACCATCAAAAAGATAACTAAAGTCCTTTCACTTCAGAGTTCCGAATGACAATAAAGACTGAACGATAAGTGAACGGTGAACGCAAGGTGAACGCAAAGTAAACGGAACGAAGAGCGAACGGTGAACGTTTTGTGAACGGTGAACGCGAGCGCACGGTGAACGCAATACTGTGAACGGAGAGCGAACGTTTAACGCACGCTGAACGAACGGTGAACGAACGGTGAGCGAACAGAAAAATGGGAAAGTAGAACGTTTTTGGGACTGTAGCATTCAGTGTGCAACTTATTTTGCTTTTTTTAAAGAAGAGGATATGAAATTATTTTTTTCTTTTATTTCAGAACATTTAAGAACATTTTTTTTTTTAAATTGTGCATGAATCATAGCTAATTCATTAATCGTGTTAGAAGAAAATGAGTGGGGTAATATTAAAGATGCAAAATGTAACCAATTAAATAAATTAACATGATGGATGTGATTTCTAGTGCTTGTTCCATTCCTGGTTAAAGATAGCAAATCAGAGAAAATCAGAAAGTTATTGTTCTCTTATCGCCTAATTCACTACAACTCACTTGTAGGATTTATGGCTATTTCTAATTTATTTTCACTTTACCACGTTTACTGATAAAACTGCTGAATCTGTTCGCTGGAGTTACCTTTTCCTTGTTACTTCAGTTTAATCATGCATTAAGCAAATTCTATATAACGACACATAAAAATAAAATAACAACATTAACCTGTTAAGGAATGATTTATGCTACAATACTTAAGATCTAAAAACTGGGTCACTGATGCATTATTTTGCATGACTGTCAGCGTTATTATTCCCACAACGTGGAGGATTTGCAGGACAGTATGCATGCCTAGTTTCCAGAGAGAAGTATCCCATTGATATAATATGATTACCTTTCGTAACAAAGAACCCATTGCACTTCGGACAAGATGGATTTCGCTGCAAAGAGGAGATGTGAGACATATTATTTGGTAACATTTTCCCACCACCTGTCGAAGACTGAGTTCCCGCGCTTGAATGATTCGGTAACTCGGTCTTTTAATTTTCGTACGTGTTTTTATCAAATAGAAAATAATGATATGAAAAATGTAAAATATTTTTTAATACAGTCAACAGAGAAAACATAATCTTTTATAAAGATAAATAGATATAGATCTCACGACCAAACAAAAAAGGACGCATTCCGAATAAAATTTGTACGAGCTGTCAAATTATTATGTTTTCCTGGCAACTTTCTGTTTCATTTTAATCAATGATTAAAAAATCGGTAAATACCCTTTTCTTTCCAGAATCTGTGAGATTTATGGAGGTTTTATAAATGTGAGTATGATTGGGCACACTTAATGTTCTAACTTCTATGCCATTTTATATAATGTGAATGATTTAGTTTGCAGTATGCAAATTATAATGCACTTTGTGCAAACATTCAACAAGTCAATTTCTTGCTGCACACTCAAAATGGAGACGTTTTTGTTTGGGGAATATATCAGCAGGTTAGGTCAAAATAGAATTTTTGGTATTATAAATATGTCTACATTTTATACAAGTATTAATCAAGACTAAAATACCCGTGGACATGTGCATCTATTGATCTAATGCACTGGTGCATATTGTGCAGTTTGCACAGTTGTCTGCACATTGTAGAGAGAAATTATTGAAAATGGCTTTACTCTGAATTACAAAGTGTAAATCTTTTATTATGTGGCACCGGTCATGAATATGATGATAATAGTTTTTTTAATTTTGAGGTTGCATTTAAATGCCTAACACTTTGCATTATATTTATCTGCTAATTCTTTATACTGAAATGAATGCTCCATTGAATGTTTCAATTCTGAGTGTACCCTATCAAGATAAATTATTGACATGACAATCACATGCATAGCCATAATCTATAAATAATCTTATGTGTACACACATGTAACCATACCAGTATTATCCATATGGTAACCATTATATACACAAACATTTTCAAGGCAACATCACTCTCTGATGTAACCTTTGAACTAATTCTTTGAAAGTCTTTTTCTCTACATTAGATTGTCATTATATCTAGACCTGTAAGTAGTCATTGTTAATTTAAAAATCAGATGTGAGTGGCAATGACGAGATGACATGCATTCATGACATTGTGTAAGTTATGTTCAAGTAACTTTGATTACAATACATGTATACATACATGTACCTGTAATCAACAAATTTCAAGTTTAACTTTGATCCAGTGTAGTGCAAAGGAAACTGAAGTAAATGAAGGAAATTTAAAGTGTTTATACTTATGTTGGTCATAAGAAAAATAATTAAACTACTTAAATCATGTATATTGAGACAAATCAATGCAATAATTACTGACAAGTCTTAAGTATGCTTTCAGGTTGGTTTAGTGTAACTATGTAACTTATTTTTAATATAGATTTGCCATGTCAGCACAGATAACGGAGGAGGAATTTTTAAAGCTTCGTCATGACTCCGAGCGTCGGCTTCAAACATTTTATGATCACTGGCCAGCCTCCAAAGACTACCTGAATAAAGAAGAGTTTGTGAGACAAGGATTTTATTGTGTGGGACATGGTGACCGGGTGAGATGTACATACTGTCGCGGCTACCTCAGTGATTGGGAACCAAATGACGATATTTTGTTAGAACACCGAAAACACTTTCCTAAATGTCCCTTCATTCTATCACCATACAAGTTTCCCGAGTTCCGAGACTTTTCTAGTCGTCTGGAGTCTTTCAGTGATTGGCCTGCACAGTTTTCACAGAAGAAAGAAGATTTAGCTCAGGCTGGGATGTTTTATCTTGGTAAAGTTTATTTAGACCTTGTGTGTTTACTTTGCATTGAAATTGAACATCAAACATGTCCAAGCAGGTTAAGAATGATTGACAAATCCTGTATTTTAAAAACCATCTACTAACACATGTTATATTTATATTGAGATAAAGTTTGCAAAAAAATCTTGTAAATTTACAGACATTAAAGATTATCTTATCCCGTCAGCATTAAGTAAATATCTTTTTCTTTTATCTAAAGAATCTAGCAAGGAAGAACTGCAATTGGCTTGCTAATAGGTTTCCTCTTAAACTGTCTGGTTAAAATCAAACCTTCTTTTGATGGTTGCATTCACGAAGCTTCACTTGACAATCAAAATAAAAAGGAACTAGTGAAGGTTTGATTTTAATCATACTGCCTCTTAGACAAGTAAATGTTATATGCAAACACTTTGTTCAAAAATATTGTAAGTAGCTATAGCCCCCATCTGATAGAGAGAACATGTATATACAATGGTGAACTTATCAGCCTTAAACAGCTGCTTGTATGCATTTCCTCTTTTCAGGCTGCCACAAAATATCTCCAAATTGATCTTTGACCTGCTTCCTCATTTTCCTGATACAGTAAAACTCGGATATAGTGAATATGCTTCTAAGGAAATCATGCTTATAATGAAGAATTTTTCATTTCCTATGATTCTTAATTATATTGTAATTTGCATGATTTGTAAACTTAACAGATGTAACAAATAGCATGAAAAATGAATCGAATTGTATTGTCTCTGGCACTTCACTAAATGTGTGTTTACTGTATTTATATATTGTGTACATTTACAAACATGTAATAAAAAACAAGGAAATGGGCAGGTTAAAGAATAAATTTTCTTAAACAGATTTTTGATTTTGTATATTTGCATGTTTGATTACAATAAAATTTTTAATGTAGTTAATTTAATAATAAACAAAAGAAAATATCTGTATATCACAGTCACAGTGTTTAACATATACTTATATGTGTCATATAATATTTACATTATTTTCAGGTAAAGGGGATCAGACTAAGTGCTTCTGGTGTAATGGAATCCTGGCGGACTGGGAACCAGGTGACACACCTATACTGGAACACAGGAAGTGGTTCAAACACTGCCAATGGTTAGAGGTCATCAAGACGGAGCCATTCTTTGTCAATGCTGTGAGAGGATTATGTTTTATCATTAGTCTGAAAAGATTTTCTTATTGATGTTTCTCATATTAAAAAAAAACAAGGGAGAATGGCTTGATTAGGTGAACTTTACATGCTCAATCAAGCAGGTGTATTATAGATTGTCAGATTGACAAAGATTTGATAGACAAACCATGCTAGTTCTATACTCATTCAGTGGAAATTTTACCTGGTTTGTCTCTCAAATCTTTGTGTCAATCTGACAATCTATAATGCACCTGCATGATTTCACATGCTACAAAAGATAGACTGGTATGTGTATATCATATGATAAAAAGCACCAAAGCATTGATCTCATACCCATCAGTGTAGCACTATAGAAAAGTTTTTAATATTCATTCAAGTACATGTTTATTAAGGTTAGCCTAGGATAAATGTAAGATCTTAATACATTTTTCTTGATTTATTCATTACACTGTATCCTACTTGGTATGCTTTAGTAATCAAATTAAAAAGATATCTTCATATATTCCAGGAAAAAGCAAGCAAGGAAAAATCAAAAGACCATACTTGTAGTAAGTTTTAATTTCATACAGTTAAATCTCATTATATTGACCTCTTTGAAACAGAGAAAAAGGGAATCAAGATATCCAGAATAAAATAATTAGAAAATGGGGCTTTGGACTTCCAAATGACTCTGGCATAATTTATGCATTGTACTCGACAAGATATTTATGTGAACATCAAGATACTGAAACTCAAATATATAAAAAGAAATTGTAACAAAAAATTTTCACAGACGTAATTTTGATGCCTTTTTATTGGAAATGCAAGAAACAAAACAATCACGTATTTTCTGTATAAAATAAAATGTACGAGGGTTGTCCCATGAAATCGTGGACAAAGCGTTTTTCTCGAAAAGTAATGGGCGCACTAAGCTGAAATTTTCAGTAAATGTTTATTCATCATATTTAAGTGAATCATAATGTTTTTGATAATATATATTCAAAAATAAAGATTTTATTCTGCTTGAATATGCACAAGGTACGGTCTTACGGCGCACGGTAAAAATAGCAAGGTTACATTAGAGAAGACATAAGAATTAATTCATAATAAAAGTTTTCAATACATAAGTTAGGATGAAAATTATTCTAATTCCATTCCTTAATCAATTCTGTCGTCTTTTTAAAAATGTCAAGGCATTTGGTTCATTTTTGGCAGTTTCCCGAGCATTTGAAATGGGAAAGTAATAAACACAGTACACGAAAAATGGCGACTTTATATGACGTTACGGCGCACAGGAGAGCAGTTCAGATAGATTAGGATGTTGTAATGACGCCTTAAGAGACTTTAAATGAATACAGAAGAAAGAAAATATGAAAAATATATCACCAGATCTTTAGTATATAAATGAAATGAAAGTTACCTTAGTGAATTCTTCGTGGTCGAGTCCCCAGATAGTACAACACATATGGACAGACTGTCATTGTAATAGCAAAGGACGCTGTCACTGTCGACCGTCGATGTGAGATTCTCTTTTAGTTGAATGATGGTGAGAATACTGTCTGTAACTTGCTAATAAATATTCAGAAGATCGCATGAGTGTGCCACATTGGTTTCTTAACTGGTTATAGATACTCACATATGTAAATCAATAAAATTTCTAAATTTAAGTGGGGCGTATCCAACTTTAAGTTTAGCAAAGATGAAACGTGACGCTGTTTTAGACACTTTGACGTTATCATCCGTGCGCCGTAGGGCGATACAGTATATAACATAAAATATCACAATTTGTTTACCTATGCATATATCTATTTGAAATTTGCTATGTATATTCATAATTTATCTACTAAAAAGTGAAAATTTCAGAACACAGTGATGATTATTTTTTAAACTAGACAACTTGTCCACGATTTTACGGGACAACCCTCGTATATGTGACAGAGGAGTAAATATTTATTGGTTTCATTTCGTCATACAGCGGCCCAGGAATCCTCTTCTCCAGAACAAATGGCCAGACAGATTGGATTTTCACCCGATATTATCAGCAAGGCAGCTAAAAAGTGTGGTAGGTAATCTATCTTGCCTATTAATTTTGTAAATGAAATGTAACAGAGTAATCTAACATGCAATTAAAAATACAGCTTATCTGCACTTAAAAAAAAATTGAAATGAATAAATCAGAGAAGTTTGAATGATTACATACATGTATAAAACATGTATGATTTCTATGCGTACATGCACATACTTATACCTGCACAAATAATGCAAACTATGAAATAGTCATGTACAAGGTTATTCAACTTATTGTTAAAAATTCAAAAATGCAACAGTCATTAGATTAATATGCATTTAAAGATATGTGTGCTTCTATTTTCTGATACTACATGCATTCCTTTTTACAGGTGGTCCATTTGATGTGGAGACACTAGTCAAGGCCATCCTGGATTTAGATGAAATTAAAACAGAGGAGGTCAAACAGACTCCAACAGAAAAACACCTTGGTACGTAGGCCTATCTGTAAGGTATAATACATCCTAGTCTAAAATATATCTCATACAGTACCCGCATCGTTATTCTTTACAGGATACACGATACGATAGGATACACGCACGATACGATAGGATACACGCACGATACGATAGGATACACGCACGATACGATAGGATACACGCACGATAGGACAGGATACACGCACGATAGGATAAACGCAAAACACGATAAACGCAAAACACGATAGGCCTGATAAACGATCTTCACGATAGGATAAACGCAAAACCTGATAGGATTGTTTCAAAATGCGGAACGTTTTCTGACAAGACGAAAAAATTATTTTGTTAAGTTATTGCAATATTTTAATTTATATACTTGCAAAGCTTCAAATCTAAATATAAAGCACATTTAATTATTATAATAAACAAAATTGAGGTCACTGGAATTTTACAAAAGTTGTTTTTTTATATATATTTTTTGACAATAATTAAATGGATTATTATGAAATGGAGACTGTAATTTTTTTTTTTAATTTCTACTTAAGGGTGTGGATTTACGATTATTTGTGTAAATGTTGAAATTCTCATCTTAAGGTTGAACTATGACTCCTTTAATTATGGATATTTTAACATACATGTAATTGTTGCACAAAATCCCTTTCATAATTATGTGCCGTTTCTCAAGGGTACCATTATAAATTTATCAAACTCTATAAATAGATTTATTATTTATGAAAATATATAAATTTGTACCTAATAGATTTATCTACAAATACTAAATTATTTCATGGAAAAAAATTACGCAATCAATTAAAATTTTGTATTTAATGTCTAAAGCTTACAATCTGCGGTGTATCCAAAAATCGCAATTAAATATTAAAATCTTAGGAAAAAATACATGTAGAAGAACGGACGAAAGACTGGTCCAAAGAAATCAGCTTTAAAGAACTATATAGTTCAAGAAAATTAATTTCCTAGGTAGATATCTAAATAATTGTTAATATAATGGCGCTCTGCATTAATACATTAAAATGTGTCAACAGAATATGAATCTGCTACAACTACACATGTTAATATATGTTTACGCTAAGCTCTAACTTATGTACATGTAAACGATTATATATCAGATACTTAAAATCTCGTATTAATTAACGAACATTGAATGACTTTTTTTCTTTACAATAGAAAACACAAAATTCAGAAACAAATATTAAAAGGGTGAAATCCGACTTTTCCAACTAAATAATTATAAATCATTGCTACTAAACATTGTGTTTACTGTTTCTAATGGAAATGAATTATTAAACCCTGAAAATTATTTTAGACTTACCCGGTAATCTTATATACGGCGTATTCGAAGGGCGGGATTTTGAAAGTCCGTAACCAATAGTTAAAATTAGATAAACGTGATTTAACCAAATACATTTAGCCAAAAATAATATTGACTTCTTAAATAAAGATATATACGTATGGAATGAAATCGATTAATACTATAAATTGATTGGGTGCAATACATTTACTCGTCTTCTATGGTCACGGCGGAATCAGACTTCTTTTTTTTATTATAGTAAAACACTGTAGAAAAAAGAAATGCACGTGCAAATTTTCATAGTTTTAAATGTTAAAATCATTTCAATCCTTTTTACGACCAAAGAAATTGTTTCCTAGAATTAATCCTGTCTGTAACCCAATGAAAACCGGATGATCCGAAAGAAAAAAAAGATGATCCGAAAGTTCATGTACCATAAGTGCAATATATTTTTTATTAAATATCATTAAAAGACATAAGATTATATAAAGTTATGAAAACATCATACAGATAAAATAAATCAGCGGATTGAGTTATGTGATTTTTTTAATTTAAATTCAAGCTAGGGAATGATTTTTCAAATCCATAAATTGTACAATTATTTAATTGATTTAGAAGGAAAAAAAATATGTTATGAGTGTACAAGGTGAGAGAGCGGTTCAGGTATGTTGACGGTGACTACACATGGGCCGAGCTATCATTTAGGGGGGCTAGAGGAGAAGTCTAGGGGAAGGGGTGTTGACCGCACAGGAAGGCAGTGTGCTGATTAGATAGGTACACATACGTGTCAGCTTTATGGTAGGGAAAGCTCTTCGATTTGACACGCAGGAGCATTATATTTTAGTTTATTTCCATGCCGAAAAGGTAAGCTGTTCAAAGCCAGCATGTTTTTTTCCTGTTTATTATTAATGCCAGATAAAATTAATGTAAAACTTTTATTTTATAGTAACTGCCATGCATGGTGTGATAAATCGGGTAGAGCATTTTCATGCATTACATTTTTTTGATATAATTCTTTTTTAAATATAGACATATTTAGAAATTTTAACTAATTAGGTAGTGATAAATAAATTTAAAAAATTGTACCTTTACGGAGAAAATCTGTGTTAAAGTCTGTGTGGATCAATGTCTTAAATGCTTAAAGCTTTGTTATTATTTGTTTTTAAATCAAGATTCTATTAAATAATTGTGCATACATGTACATGCAGATCACAGGCGAAAACACATTCCTAATATTTCCAGACGATTGATCGTGAGAAAAAAATGAATATTTTTTTTAAAAAGATACGTATAAATCCTCTGCTAATCATATTAAAATGTTCCGTGACTTACCGAAAATCATCCTCTAGTGACTCATTTCCATGAATAAAAAAAGGAGTCGATTATTTCATTTTCAAAAATTAATTTTGTTTCTTTGCTTGTCTATGATATGATTATTTTCTTAATTTAATTTATTATTAATTGTTTAATTTATTAATTATATTATTTATATATTTATTCTTTTCCTTTCACGCTTTGATATTTCTTTTAATGATGAAAAACTAAGGAATAAAACTATCTTTTCTCTTTCTTGGTTAAAACAATCTTATTTTAGTTAACAAAACGAAAAAGAAACTCTGAATACCTTGGTATTTTTTTCCTGTAGTAAAGATAAAAAGCGAGGGTTTCCGAATATACACGATAAACGCAAAACACAATACACGATAGAACCTGATAAATGATCTACACGATAAACGCAAAACACGATAAACGCAAAACACGATAGAAAAAGCAAAACACGATAAACGGAAAACACAATATGATAGGATACGATAGGATACACGCACGATACGATAGGATACACGCACGATACGATAGGATACACGCACGATAGGACGCGATAGATTTGTAAAGAATAACGATGCGGGTACTGTATACTGTAAACATCCTTTTTTCCTTTGGGTCATAATACCGCGGAATCTCCATTTCTGTTTAATCCACGTGTAGAAAAATATGCGGATTCCCTAGACTGTCATTATATGCCTTACATTTATATTAAAAGAACGCGTGGACAAATTTCCGTGGAAAATTTGAGACCGCGTACATAGGGTAAATTAATACCACGCGGAAAAGAGTACATCTACAGTGAACAAACCAGTGAATGGTCTTATTTTTTCATTATAGATATGAAATGCCTGAAGCAGTCTTTGCAGTCCTTTGATCCGAGCTGTAAAATCTGTTTTGATTCTGACTTTAACACTGTATTCCTGCCCTGTGGACATTTAATGTGTTGTGAAGACTGTGCCAAGACAATCAAAATATGTCCAATGTGCAGATCCACCATTACCATGGCAAAGAAGGTCTTTCTTCAGTAATGACATTCCTAAACAAAGATAGTTTTTAATACTGCAAAGAAAATTTACTTGTACCTCAAAGAAGGTCTGTCTTCAGGAATGACTTATTCCTCAGCAGTGATAGTCATTTACAGTCAAGCCTCTTTATTTTGAATTCAATGGAACCCCCCAAAAAGTTTTGAGATTTCAGAGAGTTTGAGATATGGAGGGTAAAATGCTTATGAAATATGAGATAGTGAGATTCTTTGACATATCTAACTGTGTAAACAATTCAAAAATGTTATATGTACCATGACAAGAAAGGGTTTACTTTAATCAGTGATACCAAAGTAGTATAATCACTATCACTGTAAAATAGTTTAAAATACTCAGTGGATGAAAAAGTTATAATGTTTCTCCTCCCTTTTGTGACCCCTATATCTTTCCTAAAAAATAAAGTATGATATTTTTTTAAAAAACAAACGTTACATGTATACTGTAAAATCACGTTTTTTCATGGGGTCAAATTTTCGAGGTATTAGGAAAAAATATTGGTTTGAGGGGATTTGAATTCATGGTTTTAAAATATTTAGTAGTAATGCCTATGACATTTTACAATTCCTGGTTGTCATAAATTCAAGGGTCGATCTCTCCATACCTTGAAAACAATGAAAATTAAACCCCCATGAAAATTAGTAACTCCACAGTACTCTTAGCCGAAATAATGAAGCCCTCTCTGATTTTTTTTTGTCTGATTTTTTTCCAAAAAAAGGGAGAGGGCTACATTATTGCAGCTAGCCTACTCTATGTTGATCTTACAATATATTCGTTTTTGGTGACAAGTTAATAATGACACATTTTTTAATCCTTTCTACACCATCCACTGGACAAAGAAATGAGACCTGTTAGTGATCAAGTACATTTTTTTTTCAAGAAGAAAATAGTGGCAGGACCTGATAATTAAATGGCTATACCACTAGTTTAAAACTAGTTCTGAATGTTCATGATACTCTTATTTTTAGACTAACTTAAAATTAAATACACAGGCACCCAAGGTTACTTATTTTTCTTTTAATAAAAAAATATACCCCTTACCTAGTAAATTATTAGGTAAGGGGAAATTTTTTTTATTTAAAGAAAAATAAGTAACGTCAGGTGCCTGTGTTTAAATAGACATTTTTTTCTAAATTAGCATACTTAACAAATGTTGCAACTTACTCTACAAAGTCACTATACTGTAAACCAACTTATATTTATGACGACTTTATTTCATGATTTACCACAGGTAAAGCAATTTGGGATGATAAATTTTCACGATCTGTTCTAAAGAGACACAGAGACTCTAACGATCAGTTCGCGGCGACAAATATTTGCGTGACGTCTCTATCGTGAAACTAGCAAAAATTTCTCGCATGGGTATGGCACGCCAAATTCACAAAAATGAGATAAACCTAGTTTCACAATTGATAAACTAGGTTTATCGACTGTAAACTATAGTTTACAAACCATAAACTATAGTTAACGATTCATTAAGTATAGTTAACGATTCGTTAAGTATAGTTTTCATCTGTAAAACTATATTTAAGGGTTGTTAACTATAGTTTACGAATGATAATCTAAGTTTATCTGTGTGTAATAAGGCGTTAACAATAAATTTTGTTGATAAACATAGATTCACGTTTGTAAACTATAATTTACAATCGTAAACTATGGTTAAGAGTTGTTAATTATAGTTTCACAAATCGTGAAACTATATTTATCAGATCGTTAACTATAGTTAACGGTTTGTAAACTAATATATATAGTTTACAAATCGTGAAACTGTATTTATCAGATAATCTATGTTTTGCAATCTATGTTTTGCAATCGCAAATGATTGTTTTCCGTGTTAAGTATAGTTTACTGTTGTGAAACATAGATTATTGCATTAACTATGGTTTACAGATGTAAAATATAGATTAACGTCGTTAACTATAGTTTACAGTCCGTAAACTATAGTTTACAACGCAGCACAGTTAAGGTTACAAATGGAAATATTGGCATTTTTTTAAGTTAAAAAATACATACTAATATATTAGGATGGGCAATTCTTTTTAGGACTTCACTGATATCAAAAAAATATAATTTGGTTTAAATCTACATATTGGGGACATTTCGATTTTTTATTTAGACTTTTCATGTGATGTCGACGTCACATGATTTTAGCAATTATACTTGCAGTTTAGAGGTCATCTATAAATTCCAATATTGCAAGGGCATAACCAACTTAAAAATCTTAGTTTAATTTATAATCCTTTTTAACACTATACATAGTTTGTGAAAAGTGCTGCGAACGTATGTAGATTAATCCTTTATTTAAGGATACACCAAAGGCTTTTTTTCAAGATTTTTGTCTTTTTTGAAATTTTTGGCTAAGAAAACAATGCTAATCACTACTTTATAATGCATGAAAAATTCTTTCTGATTATTAAATGGTTTTCTAATTATTTAACAATAATCAAACATAAACACTAACACATGTGAATGTGCCGTTATTGAAGCTTCTGATTTGGTCTGTAACTGCCTGCTTCTGAAAGGAGCAATAAATCACTGTGACCACTTGGGGAATTCTTCACTAGCCACACAGAGGTTATCAGTAATTAAACTACAGGGACTCTAGATTTAGGGAAGGAGATCTAACAGGTCACTAATGACCATGTAATAGGAGGTGGGGCTTAGCTCTTGCCATTTTGCCGGGAAATCTTTCTGATTCAGAATTGAACCTATTTTACTTCATTAAAAGCACCTAAATAAAGAATAGAACCTCCCATTCTTGTGAATATGCATAGAAAATATGGATAAGTGACAGATATCCAAAGCTGAATCTCCAAGGTGTCATATATTTCTAGCTTTGGCAGACTTTGTTGTGTAATGGGTTTTTGCCCTCTACTGTAAAGTAAGATCAGACAGTTGGTGGTATTAATTCAAAGGATTCAGCTCCCTTATTTACTGACCAATTTCTCTGAAAACTGGCCAGAATGCGTTTCAAATGTTTGTTCACAAAACCGTATCTCAGATTTTTGATATCTTGCTCAGTTCTCGATTTATTGGGGGAAATGTAGAATTGGGCTAATAAATTGGTAACATTGAAAGCCAAATGGACGTAACTTTTGAATAAGAAGATTTATCAAAAATCTGAGATACGGTTTTCAAGTTCAATCATTAATCTACATTGAGGCAAAATTTTGACTTTGAGAGGTGGAATACAAAAAAGTTGATTTATAAAATATAAATGCACTAATATTTACATTAAAATATTAATAACTTTTTAATAAGATAAAAATGAAAGTTTATATTAGAATCATTAAGTAGTACATTTAACAAGCTTTCAAATGATATATACTTTTAATATGTTATCTTTGATAATGAAAGAATTACAAGCAAATTAAATTTTGCCCTTTGGAAACCTTTGGTGTATCCTTAATTGCTAAAATTTAATTTGTTGGACGGCAGGTTGAATATTTCGCTAGTTAACTACATTATATATAGCTATAATCAATTTATTTGCAAGATTTCAGGTGGTTCGCAGCACTTTTCAAACATCTTAATGCTTCTTGAGTTTATGTGTAAAAACTTGACAAGATACACTGAGGGTATGCCCTTGCAATAAATTGATTTATTAGGGCCCTTCCATTACTTTTTCAATGAATCTGCATACAAACATGCGGCAGTATCACTTGTCTGGAAAATGTACGGACAGTTTATAAATAAAATACTAATATAGACATTGCATCCAAGTTAACGGCCTTTTATTTAATTGCAGATTTGATCAGCCTCTCACTGTGTACAAAGTGCGTCATTTTTGCGAGATGACGTCACATTGACAAGTGCATTGCGATCGATGCATCGTTTATACTGTTGTGTGGGATTAATAACAAACAACAAAACTGCATGTAATAGTAAGTTTGTATGTAGTATACAGCTATACAGCTGTTTGAAATAGCAAATAATTTCATTTTGTGGTATTTTGAAGACCTTATATTATGTTTAACGTCATAGTAAACATTTCCCGTACAAATTAGGCCCCGCCTACTTACTTTAACCTTAACTGTGCTGCGAACCGATAAACCTAGTTTATCGACTGTGAAAGTATGTATTGCTCATTTATGTGAATTTGGCGTGCCATACACGGGAAGAATTAAAGTTGGTTTACAGTACTCAAGAGCAAGGCACTTCATTTCTGAGGAAAATATGTGAAATGACAAAACATTATAAAATGTTTTGAGAAAAATCAAATTAAGAATCAAACTAGATGTTGTATGCTATTAGTGCTTGCAGTGTGCAATATTTAAGTTACATATGTATATTACAGTAATTACATTTGTACATACATTAATTAGGCCAGCTTCAAAAATGTTTTTTGTCTTCTCCCGAAGTCACAGTAAAAAAAAAAGTGCAAGTAGTTAGAAAACATTTTGTCAGAATATAAAATTTCAGCATACTTCACAAGATTATGGGGAAATTTTTTTAGGTTTAAGTTTAGGTTCAAGTTTTCTGGAAGGTTTAAAACAGTTGAATTATGTTATATATCTTTTATGTTGTTTGTCAGTATTTAAACACAAGATCTGATTTTTTTTTTCTAAATGTTTTTACTTATTTATTTATTAGCATTTATCTTGCCAGATTGATATTACAACTACTGTGAGCAAATTAAGTCCTGTGGCCCATTTTACAAAAAGGAAGTATGACTAAGACCAGAATTAATTCTGTTAAAATATATTTTTAATTTACTTTTTAATGAAAGTGGTTTAAATCTTGAAGTAAGATATTTTTACATTTAATTTCAAACAGAATTATTAATTTTTCAAAATTTTACAATAATATTAGTTTTTGGTCTTAGTCTTGAGTTCTTTTGTAAAACAGCCCACCCTAGGTTATACTTTATATATGTTGTGAACAAATCTTCAGAAAAATTTTGTAAATTTTTCTTTTGTTTAAACCGGTGAAGTCAAATGACATATTAAAAAAAAAAAGTACAGTGAAACTTGGCTAATCCAGATCTTGTGTATTCCAAAATCTTGCTTTAATAATATGATGTTAATTTGCAGTCTGTTTTATAGTAAATTCATTTGCTTATAATGTTGTCTAATCATGAATGTTGTCAAAATTTTCATGTCCAGATAAGACAAGTTTTCCTGTATTATCAAGGGATATTTTGCTCTCAGTAGTTTACTTTTTGGCATTACCAACCAGTATATAGTCTCTTTTAAGCTGAAGTTCATGTCATTATTAACTAGTTTACATAAAGCAATGTAAAGTTTTTGAAAAAAAATTAATCACTTTGTACTTTATTTAATATGATTTTATTTTACATGATATTGTTTAGTTGGCTTGAAAATGTTTGTGTTATATTTGTACCAATATACGGATTTGTTGATGTGTTTATTAAATTATTGTCTGAAGGATCAAAATAAATGTTTCCTTCTTGTCTGCACAACAACTTTCATAGAATAATGTCAAGTTTTATTGGAAGAATTTGAAAATGTGTGTGATTTTGATTTAATTAGCACTATGCTAAGCAGTAGGTTCATCATGGTCATCAAACAGATGAGTAAACACGTCTATTTCTCCAGCTGAGGTACCACTAGTTGACTTCCCAGCAGACAAGCTGGAGTCTGACTGAATGACCTCCCCTGATGAAATCTGGCTGTTGGAATGTATTGATATTCTTTCTCCAGAATGCTGCTTCAGAAATAATTCCGGATCATTGGGTGAATTATCTATCCATCTGTCCGTGTCATCAGCTGTTAGGTCGTCTGTCCTTACTTCTGTCTTTGGTTTGTTAATTGGCTGTCCTATTGTTACTTCTGGTATTGCACATAACACAGGGGACCTAACTCCTGCTCTGGGGGAAAGGCCAGATGTAGAGGGTTCTTGGGGGCTTAGCATCTGTGGGGGTGATGTTGGGGATAAAACTTTCTTGTTG